CTTTCTCAGGCAAACTGGGAAAAATGGTTGGCTCAAGGTTTGAAGTTGTTCGGCCGTGAGGAAGAGATAGAGATAGACCACGAATATACATTTCAAAAAAATAGGAAAATTGATATGATTTTTTGTTCTGTTTTTTGTTTCATTTTGCTTCTGTTTTGTTTTGAGTTATCTGTTTGAGTTGCGTTATCCTTGTAGCAGAAATATGGGGTCAGAAATTAGCAAAAAACAAACCGAAAGAATGTTAAGTAAATTGTTAGAGGAAGGAGGCATCCCAGTAAAACCAAAAAGAGTCAGGGCATACAATACAAAAATGTAGCCCATGGCTTTTAAAGGAGGAGTTGTTGAATATATCACAATGGGAACTCCAAAGTAGCAGGGGAAGGCAGACAGCAGGGGTCTAATATACAATTGAATACACAGCTTAACATAACCATCATCATCTCAAAGGCTTGCTGGCGTCACCTCTCAACCACTCCTTCTGGCAAAAATGCCATGCGTCATTCTGACTGGCTGTGGCTCTCAGAAGAGTGGGGTTAGTCCACTGAGCTCTCTGGGACCTGAATGTTCTCTGACCACTGTGGAGGCCATGGACGGACACCTATCTCTAGTTCCGTCCTTCTAGCACAGTGGGCTTTTAGTTTAGTTGACATTTTTAAAATTCTGGTTGACAGCCAGGCATAGTGGTTCATGCATGGGATCCCAGTGACTCAGGAAGCTCAGGCAAGAGATTGCAAGTTCCAGACCAGCCTCAACAACCTATGAAGATGCTGTCTCAAAATAAAAATTAAAAAGGGCTGGGGGTGTGGCTCAGTGGTAGAGCACTCCTGGGTTCAATCCCTAGTACCACCACCACCAAAAAAAAAATGTGATCGGTTTTCCACTGGAATATATAGAAGGATGTTTTTTTCCTTGTAGTTATACTTTGCAGTGCTGGGGATGGAACCCAGGCCTCCTGCAAACCAGGCAATCGCTTTATCCCTGAGCCTCGCCCTTAGCCCCCAGGCAGTAGCTGTATTACATTCCAAAGTTGGAATGAAGAAGCTGCATCTCGGGGAGCTGACATGTGGCTCAGAACACATAGCTGGCTGAAGGCAGACTTAATGTAGACGACGGTGTTCTCATTGGTTCTGTTCTGTTTTGTTTTCTTAGAAAAATTAAGTCGTAGCCATCTTATTTTAAGTTGTTCATTATAATTTCAGTCTGCAAAATACTGCTTCCTGACAGTCCTTCCTCAGGCCTCTCCTTAGCCTGCGTTGGTGCGTGTAGTGAGGCACTGCATGCAAATCAACAGTCAGGTCAGTTTCACCTCATGTGGAGTGAGCACGTCTCACCTGCCGTGGCCCAGGTTTGTGCTGGTGGTCAGCGGGCAGCCTGCCCTCAGGGGCTGCTGGAGGGCCCTGTGGGATCTGTGCTGCATGCCCCCTGTGTGAAGCGCCGTGGCCCAGCGCACTGCAGCTTAGTGAGGTTCTTGTTTGAGCTCTGGCTCTCGAGGGCTGAGGGTCGTCATCAGGACTGCAGAGGAGGCCCAGGGATCGGTGGCTCTGGGAAGAGGAGTGTGAGTCTTGCTGCTGCTGCTGCCCTTGGCTTCACAGCCTAAAGGCGCAGGGCATCCTTCCTGAGTCTGAGCTACAGTGCCCACCCACCTGTGACCAAGAGCAAGCCCAGTGCTGTTCTCGGAGACTTGGGGCATCTGTTCCATTAGCCCTTCGCGAGGACGCTGCTGTTCTGGGAGCCCGGTGTCTGTGAGTTTCCGTCACCCCCTCGCAGCGGCAGGGTCTCATCACCTCCTCGTGGCACGGTGAGCCGCCTCCCTCCACGCTTGTGCACTGAAGGCCTGAGCAGACTGGAGCCCAGGGCTGGCGAGCACAGGGGGTGCGGGTGGATGATCAGAACTGTGCCACCTGCTAAAAGCCACGCTAGAGCTCCGGGAAGCCCTCCGGGTTGTACCTCTGTGTGGTGAGGCGTGCGGTGGAATCCCCGACCCTGGTGGATGGCTTTACCCAGCACACAGCACAGGCCCAGGTGGACTCTGCGTCTGCACCTGCGCAGGTGTTTGTTCTGACAAAGTACCATACCTAGGCGTGTGGTCACTAAGAGCATGATCCCCATGAGGCCGCAGCTGTGGTGTCTCTTAGAGTGAAACTGTAAGAAGGGCCACATTTTGACCCCCTTCTCATTTACTGTTTGGTCACAGTACTATAATTTGGATTTCCTATTAAAAGATCAGGAAGTCCCACTGTCTTGGAATCGCCAGCAGCGTTCCGGAGCTGCCTTCAGGCTCTCCAGGCTTGCCAACTCAGGGCACTAACAGCCCACCCTGGTCAGAATCGGCTGTGCACTGCTGGCAACACCTCGTGCCCATCAGGACCCAGTTTGGGGACTGGAAATCTGCTGGGCTTGGTTCCTGCACCCCATCCAACTGTGCTCTGTCTCTCTGGTGTCCACTCGACAGCCTCGTCTTGGTCTTGGGTGACACTGAGTGTCCATGAGACGTCCTCCTTCGGCGACATCTTTCAGGAGGGAATCTCTCCTGGCAAGAGGCAGCTTATGCAGCCTGCAGGTGCCTCTGCACCCCTCACCCGCCCTCCCCAGCAGCCTGCAGAGGTGGAGAAGGGAGGTGCTGAACCTTGGGGAGCAGGCAGAGCCAGGCTTGTGGCCAGGCAGCACAGCCTGGCTCCTCCTGCCCCTGTGCTGCTGGGTGGTCCTTGGAAGTCACCGAAGGACGTGGACCAATGCTTGCTTATTTCTGACCCACTGTCCCCAGAAGGCCATTTAACTGAGTGGTCTAGAAGGTGAGTTTTTTCTGTAGGGAAGGCTCTAGTGTGCACACAGTGCCGGTGACCTCAGGTGGCATGGAGCAGGGCTGGCCCCTCTGGGTGAGCTGCTGCTGGGTGGGCGTGAGCCCCTTGGCCTTGGCAGCATTCTCACAGGAAGGGCACGCCTCACAGGTGGCGGGTCTCCCCAGTTGGCACTGTGTGCGGAGCCTCTCCCTGCCACTCTCCGGCTCTAGCTTGGGGCCTGTCTACCCCACACTTCAGCTATTCTGTCCGCATGCTCCCAAACAAAAACCGCTGTCGGCTAACAGGGAGCAGACTTGGCTTATTCTCTCAGAAGAACCCTGGCAGGCCCCCTTGGGTAGGGACTGCAGGGCCTCGCTAGTACCAAATGCCAGCCTGCTCCCGGTGCCCCATAGATCCTGCTGTGGGTGACCACAGCTGTGACTGGACAGTTCTGGCTGGGGCCAAAGGTCCCACTGAAGAGGGGCTCTGGCTTCAGGCCACTTCCTTAGCAATGTGGACAGCACAGACGGAGAGGCCAGTCTTCAGGACAGCCCAGGTAGTCCAGGTGAAAGTGTCAATATTGAGGACCAGGGTGGGCTTTGGTCCCAAGCTGCCTGTGGAAGGCGTTGTGGCCCAGGGGTCTTCTGGGGCCTCCCTTAAGCTGGACTGGCAGGGGCAGGCTTCCAGCACATTCTCTCTGCACCAGGTCTGTGTAAGTTGGTGGTTATTTAGCTTGTTCATTATTATTGCCAACTCCTTTGGTTTTGGTGGAAAGTCATTTTTCTGGCCATACCTATGTGCCTGGGCTGTGGGCTTTGTCTGGGGCACGGAAGGATGAAAATGTTCACATCATAGACGACACAATGCTGTCCCTATTCCTTTGCGTTGTTGACATGGCGTGACTTGGATTTCCAGACCCAAACATGCTGGTAAGTGACATGGAATTCGAACAGCAGAACCCCTGAGCAGCGCTGCAGTCTGTCCAGTGCCCCGTGGAGCGTGGGAGCTGCTGGGGCCATCTCACTCGCCATCAGTCTTCAGCAGGGCAGGGCTCAGGCCAGGCCTTCTTCACAACCTGAACCCTCCCGGGAACACAGGATCAGCCTGCAGAGTGCCTAGGGCCAGCTCTGACTGGAATGACCTTTGGGCACTCTCCTCAGGGTGGAGGGTGCTCAGGGTGACCCTCTGGAGCTGGCTGGGCAGGTGCAGCGTGGTGCAGTGCTCGAAGATTGGCCTGGCCCCTGTTCTGTGGCATCACCCAGCAAGATGTGGGAGATATTTCTGCAGATACCATCTCCTGCCTGTGGGTCCTGCCAGAGGTCACTGTGAGGGGCAGCATCCACCCAGAAGGGCAGCCACATCCGCGTGCATAGCACCCGCACGTGTGTGCATGTCTCATACTTACACACAGGCCGAATGGCTGCTCCCTGCACACCCCACTTCTCCCTCCCTTACTCCGCCATCTGAGCTAAACAGTCTCCACAGGAGGCTGGAGCCCCACTGTTGACCCACCTGCTGGGCCAAGACCCTCACACACTTTGTCTCTCTGTGCCTCAATTTCCCCCTCAGGTCACCGTGAAGACTTGGTTCTGGAGGTAGAGTGCTCTGAAGGGCCCTGCCCATCTTAGTGCCATCCCCATTGCCCTTGATGGCTGCAAGGATGGCGATTCATCCCCATGTTGACACGGGGGTCTCCTCACAGATTGCACAGGCCACACTGTGCCCAGGTGCCGGCTCACCATCCTGCTACCTCTTCTTCCTCAAGGGGAGCACGGCCATCAACACCCCAGGAACATGGCTGCTCATGCGACAGCGATGGGCAGCCAGCCTCAGGCCGAGGTGGAGGGTCCAGTGGGAGGTGGCGGTGGCCCCTGGGAGGCCACGTGCTGCAGAAGCAGAGAGCTGACAGTGTGGTCTTTTTCTGCCTCCCCAGTAAGTCAGTGGAGGAGGAGTGTGGTTCCTAGTGAGGGCGAACATTTCCCGCTGACTTTTGGTGACTTGTGGGATCCCTTGTTCTGCTCAGCTGCTTGTCCTACCCCTGTTAAGGTGACAGCCTTCTATACGTAGTCATCTGTGTGTCAGGAGCAGTACAAGGAGCTGCTCCCTTTACCTCTTGCATTTCCATTGCATTCACTTCCTGTGAACAAGGGGAGCTTGGTCAACTTCTGCCTCGGGGGCTGGGTGCTCCTGGGCGCTGACGCCTGTCTCCTTCGCCCACAGCAGCAGCAGGAGATGCTGGCCCTGAAGCACCAGCAGGAGCTCCTGGAGCACCAGCGCAAGCTGGAGAGGCACCGCCAGGAGCAGCAGCTGGAGAAGCAGCACCGCGAGCAGAAGCTGCAGCAGCTCAAGAACAAGGAGAAGGGGAAGGAGAGTGAGTGCCGCGGCGGGGCGCGGGGGGCGGGGGGCGGGCGCAGCTGCTGCCCCTTGCTGTGGGGGCCGGGTTCCCTGGCAGCAGCTCTGCGGGGTCGAGCCCCAGGAGAGCAGGCGGCTCAGGGAGTGGGTGCTCAGTGAGCTGGTGATGCGCGGTTGAGGAGGAGCCTTTCCCTTGGACAACCGCTTCAGCCCAGGGAGCGCCCGGGACCCTGTCAGCACCTCCTCCAGCCAGGCAGGTGTTGGCCTCCTCACGGCCGCCGCCACCCCGGGCTGCAGAGTGACCTGCCAGAGTCTGCCAGACTCTGCCCGGTGCTGCTGCCACCTGTGCTGTGGCCGTCCTCCAGCCTCATCCCGTGACAGGGACAGGCAGCTGTGTGCTGCTCCCCAGATTCTGTGCAGCTCACTGGAAATGCACTGTATGGCTCTCTGGCGCATGTTTCTCGCAGACAGATTTTCAACTTAAAAGTTTTTGAAAACGTCACCCTTTAGAACTCTTAATATTGAGCATGTAGCAAAGAGGATTTGTAAAATGCAGGTAAGGTGCACAAGAGCACAGAGCAGAGTCCACTGGTGGCCCAGGCAGTTGAAGGAGTCGTCATTTGGCTTCCCGTGAAGTCCCCTCTGAGCTTCCCTGTGCCCCGCCATGTGGCCCGCCACAGCCTACTGGAGACTGTTGTCACCCCCATGCTTGGTCTCCTCCTCCCAGCGTCCCACCACTACCATGTGCTCCCTGGGCTGGAGTGCTGGCTGTGCGCTGGGGCCGGAGCAGACGTGCTGGGGCTTGCTCTCCCCTCCCGTCCAGTGCCATGCTCTGCAGGGCTGTGCAGCGCCATTGACGAGCCTCGCACTGACCCCCTCTTCTCCTGGCTCTTCCCACCTGGGGGCTCTCGGCATGTGCTGGTCACTGGAGGGCTACTGAGGGACCTCAGGGGTCTCTTCTGAGCATCTCCTACAATGGCAGAGCACAGCCACAAATATTCCTATTGCCTGATTTATGGACTGTCCGTCTGTCTAAAGAGGCGCAAACCAAGAAATAGACACTAAGGGATTTATTGTGAGGACTTGCTCTCTCTGATGTGGGGCCAGCCAGGCAGGTTTGAGAGCCATAGAGCAGGTCTTCAGATGGTCGGGCCTCTAGATGGTCAGGCCTCTGGTGATCAGGACTCCAGCTGGACAGGCCTTTAGATGGACAGGCAGCCAGATGTTCATGACTTCAGGAAAGGCAGACTGGAGCTTGTGGGCAGAGCCTGCGGCTCTGCCCACAGCAGGGTTTTGTCTTTCCGTGGGGCCTCAGTGCTGCGCAAGGCTGACTCATATGACCGCAGGCACAGCCAGCCCCGACTTCAGTCACATCTAAGAGGACTTCCTGTGACACCTAGGCTAGCCTTTGATTGGATAATGGGGGTGGCCTGGCCAGTTGACACATTTGAAGACCGTCCCACCAGGTGGGCTAAGTAGCAATCCAAGGTGCTTGTACCTGCCCTGGGAAGCAGGAAGGCCTGGCCCGGGAGGAGCGCTCAGCGGGGTGCAGCCTTCCACAGAGGACCCTGAGGAGTCGTGGGCAGCCCCTGCCCCAGGCGTAGGACAAGCAGTGGCCTTGCTGGAGCTGGGCTTCTCGTCTGAGGAGAGGAGCCCAGAGGCGGACATTGGCCTTTAAAGGTCCCCCGCTGGCTGCCGAGCAGAGGAGCAGGCAGAGCAGGGCCCAGGGGAGAAGCTGCGGTCTGTGGGTATTGATGGGGTGCTGACAGTTCCAGGTGTATTGGGGAGGGGGAGCCACCAGCATCTGCAGATCCTGAGACAGTGGAGTTGCTCCATGGTCTGCCTGCAGTGAGCAGGACGGAGCAGCCGTGAGGTCACACGTCTGCGTGGGCAGCTCAGCTTACCAGTCCTGCACCTTGAGCCAGAGTGTTGCTTCTGTGGTCACCACAGGACACGCTTGCAATGCCAGTGAGGGAGGGGCTGGCCTTGAGCGGCCGCTCTCAGCATCCCTCACCTTCTGCCCACAGAGGGCCAGTGACCGGCAAGGGCTTTTCTCTCAGCAAGAGGCACCTGTCCTTGAGGTGCAGCATGCTGACAGACCTTGAAAGCCGTGTCTTCAAAGAGAAAATGGCAGCCATCCTCACAGATTATCTTAACCGGGTTTTGCACACCACAGAACGCTGTGTGCTAAAGCGAGGTCTGTCTTCTAAAATTGTTTGAAATTTTTTTAAATACAAAAAAGTATACAATCTTTAGTGGTAAGGAGCTTCTGGGAGTGATTTAACAAATCACACACCTGGGTGGCCTCTGCCCAGCCACCCCCAGGGCCACTGCCAGCAGCTGGGACTCCTTTCTTCCCAAAGGCCACTCTCCCCTGACTCCTAGCGCAGGTTGACTTAGCCTGCTTTTGACATGGATGTAAATGGAATCATGAGCATGAAGGATTTTGTTTCTCACTTCTTTACCTCAGTATTAAACTTGTAAAATTAGTTCCCGTTTTGCATTTGGCTTCTCCCGTTTGTCTGCAAATGCACAGTATAGTGCCCATTCACAGCCAGCAGGTATTTGGGTCGCTTCCCTAACCAGACTGTTGTTACAAGCAGTGCTCCCGTGTGCATTCTTGGAGTAATGGACAGTCCGGAAGTGGAATTGCTGAGCTGTGGGGAATGGATGACTTTAACATCCATGCACAGTGTATCCATCCACATCCTGCCTGCTGGACAGCAGAGATGGAGCTGTCCTCTCCAGCACCTGCCGAGGTCAGTCATTTGAATCTCAGCTGTGCCGCAGTACCAGCTGCCTCTGAAGCCGCACTTTCCTCCTTACCAGGAGATACAGTGGTTCTCCTGTGCTTTGGCCAACGAGATGTCCTCCTGCTGTGAAGTGCTCGGCCCTGGAGAGCAGGCTTTGTTTAAATCATTCTCAGATTCTTTTTATTACCTTTCAAAAAGGTCTCTTGCCCATTTTTTTTTTTTTTGAAGAGCCGAAATGGTTTAGATGTGAGTTGTCCCCCATGTTAGAAATCTGGGGCGCCTCAAGGAATCCAGCACAAGCTCAGAAGTAGCTCCAACAGGCAAACTACTTTTAAAGATGGGCGAGCTACCAAAGAAAATCCAGCAAGCCAGCAGGCAGTCCCCTGTGGTTATGCCTAATGCCGCTCTGTCCCCTGCTCTGATAGGAGGAACCAGTGCTACAATCTACACGACTGGCTGATTTTAAATTTGGGAGGGCAAAGGGAAGGGCTACAGTTAAAATGGCTATGACTGGCTCTTACCTCCCAGTTAAGGCTGAATGCTGTATTCTGAGGCGGGAACACGGAACTTTCTCCTTCTCCCTAGTCCCCCTTTTTCTTTCCTACCTTTTGGTCTCATTTTCATGTTTGTCCTTGTGCCCTTTGGCATTGCCATCCATCCTAGACATGTTAACGTTTTGGGGTGGAAGTGACCCTCGGTAATGAGTTCGCCCCTGGTTAGTCGTTGAGATAGCTGTCCTGATGATCAGGAGCACGCGGTGAGGCCCTGCCCAGCTCCGTTGTAGCTGGTCTTCTTTCCAGGTCTTGATTAAAATCAGGTGGCCAGGGTGGAAGTGATGAGTCGCCAACTCCAGAGGGGGAGTCTGAGCAGCAGCTCATAATAATCATACCATAAAAAAAGACAGGTGCTCTTTACAAATGGTCACGTGTGGTTGAAGATAAGGAGACCTGCCAGGTGCAGTGGTGCAGGCCTGTAATCCCAGCAGCTCAGGAGGCTGAGGCAGGAGGATCTAGAGTTCAAAGCCAGCCTCAGCAAAAGCAAGGTGCTAAGCAACTCAGTGAGATCCCGTCTCTAAATAAAATGCAAAATAGGGCTGGGGATGTGGCTCAATGGTTGAGTGCAATCCCTGGTAACCCCCCCCCCCCCCCCGGCCGCCCCCGGAAAAAAAGGAGTTCTGGGTCTTAAACTACAATGTTGATAATTTCATAGTTACCCCTTTCACTTAATTGGTCAGGGTTAATGCTGGAGTCAGCTATGTATCCAACCACCCTGTAGGTGACGGTTGTTCTGTCACAGCAGGGGTTCTGCAAGACCCTAGCAGGCAACAGACACAAAGCCTTACCATAATACAAAAGGAAGTTAACAAGACCAAAAACATAGTGTATGATAGTTTAGAGTCAAGAAACATAATTTCTATACACTAATATTTATTGAGTATCTGTTTTACCTCCACAAAAACCGATATCAACTTCGTTACATAAAGATCCTTTACAAATTTTACTTTCTTTTAAAACTCTTGTACAACCTTGAATATCTCTTTTGATTTACCCAAACCCTCACTTAGTTTTGTATTATATCGCTTGTTTATTTTTGAGATATTCCTTACAACAAAAACATCTCTTTTGAACATGATATTAAATGTGCTTAATGCTGGTCTACTTTGGAGCCTTCTTAGCATGGAGTAGGGTGACAGGCAGAAGCGCACTCAGGGGAGGCGGGGCTCTCGACCAATCTTATTTAAAGTGCTATACTTTTGAAGCTGATCTTTGCCTCTTTCTTTTTTATTAAATTTATTTTAATTAGGCATATATGACCGCAAGATGCATTTTGATTCTTGTACACCATTGCAACATGTCTTTCCCCTTCTCTGGCTGTACATGATGTGGTCTTACATGTGCCTAGGGCAATGATGTCCATCTCATTCCACCTTCTTTCCTGCCCCCCCCCCATGCCTCTGTCTTAACTATCATTTTACAAAGTTCTCATATGTTGTTTCCTGAATCTATCTGAATGTCAGGTAACATAATACAACACTGTGTCTGAAAAATGAATCCAATAGAAAGGCTAAGAGTGCTCCTAACTTAAATCATTCTCAGATTCTTTTTATTACCTTTCAAAAATACATTTAAATGCCCATCCCTGTGTTAAGATTAACACAAATGTGTGTGTGTGTGTGTGTTTATATATATAAAAACATGGGTTCCTGCTGAGGTATGCTGGGTTGCAGAGGAAGTCTATTGGGCACAGCGTGCGTGTGTGTGTGTGT